TCTGCCAGGCCTTTGGTTGAGGGCCTTGGCACCCTTCTCTTTTTCTCTGCACCCGCCTTTTGGCCTTCTCTCCCCTCCTCCCCACCAGTGAGAAGAAAGCACAGCCCGGAGTGGGTTGGAGGGGAATACACACACACACACACGGCTCTTTTTGTAGAAAAAGCCCAGCAGGAACTCATTAGCATAATAGGCCACACCCAACAGGAGGAACTCATTAACATATTAGGCCACACCCCTGACAGCACAGCTCATTAGCACATTAGGCCGCACCCCCATGTTAGGCCACACACCCCTAATGTAGCCAATCCGAATGAGTTCCTGCTGTTGGGTGTGGCCTATTATGCTAATGAGTTCCTGCTGGGCGGGGCCACCTCGGGAGCCAGCCGGAACTCCGTTCCTGTGCGTTCCTGCCCAAAAATAGCCCTGTGTGTGTGTGTGTATTAGTGCCATCTGAGATTTATGTATTGATTTTTACTTGTTTTTAACATTCTTCTAATTGTTTTTAAAATGATGTACATTGCTTAGAGCCTTGTTGTTTTACAGGGATTAGGTGACTGAGAAATCCAAACAAATAAGTAAATAAACCAGTCAGTGGTAGCTGTCACTGAATCCTTTCCAATATCTACTGGCATTTTAGCTAAGCAGGCCTACCCGTTGTGCTTTTCTGTGCAGCCATGGGCATGACTGATTCCGTTTGAGGCATCAGACTCTATCTTGTATGCCATATTCTGTCTTATTTGGCATGGTGACCAGGCAAACTTATCAGGATCCTGCCTGCTTAATTGCCCACATAGAGTGCAAAAGGTTTTCAGTGCAGTCCTAAGCAGAGCCACACATTTCTAAGCCCACTGACTTCAATTCTAGATTGCTTGTTTTGTAAAACATATACAACAAGGACCCAGCAAACAGATAGCATACAAAAACAACAAGTTGCTGCACAGGTTCCAACAAAATAAACCAGTCAGTGGTAGCTGTCACTGAACCCTTTCCAATGACTGCTGAAATATCTACTGCCATTTTAGCTAAGCAGGCCTACCCGTTGTGCTTTTCTGTGCAGCCATGGGCATGACTGATTCCGTTTGAGGCATCAGACTCTATCTTGTATGCCATATTCTGTCCCGTTTGGCATGGTGACCAGGCAAGCTTATCAGGATCCTGCCTGCTTAATTTGTCCACATAGAGTGTAAAAGCTTTTCAGTGCAGTCCTAAGCAGAGCCACACATTTCTAAGCCCACTGACTTCAATTCTAGATTGCTTGTTTTGTAAAACATGTCATGAGGACCAAAAAAGTGTACACTGAGACTTCATGCATGTGTGGTTTCATCCAGGAAGCGTTATTCTGTCCCACTACCTTTCAGATTTTGTTCAGGAACTTTTGGGCTCCTAAGCAAACCCACTAAAGGTGAACAACTTTCCCTCTGCCACTTGCCTTCCCAATCTGTCTTCGCATACAGTGACGGGTGAAGGCCAGAAGACCCGGCCAGCGTGGGCTCGCAAATATGCTCCAGCATTGGCTGTAAGGACAGGGATTCCATAGAAAATACTCAGGTGTTTTTAGCCAGTGAGTTTACATGGGAAGTATTCTCTGAAAGCAGGAAGGTTTGAAAGCCTCTCTTGTATCTTATTAACATACTTCATTAACTTATAATTCTTAGCTCATTAGCTCTGGAGACTTGAACACGGAGTGCAGAGCCAATAATTTTTTTTTTTGCATGCCTCTAAATTTAACATGAACTTGCTGTAATAAAATAGGGCACAGGGGAGTACTCGCATTCAATTAATAGTAGATTGTTCATGCCTGTGCTGTCCTGCAGCTTATTAACAGAAAATATCACATTCAGTTGGGGTAAGGAATCTAACTGAGTTGTGATTTTGGACAACATGTTGATGAATGGCAGATTGGAATAAACACAGCTGTTGGAAAAGGGGACAATGCAACAGGCACCAAGAATTCTGTGCAAAGAGCTGTTCCGATTCCAGGCACTCTCAAAAGACCTCAGTTCGTTTTAGTATATTGCGTACTGCGGAATTGCATTTTGCTTCTATAAACCGTGTATAACTGCCCCCCCCCCAGTGTGCAGCCATTTGTTGAGCTGCGGTGGCTCAAGTGGTTAAGACGCTGAACTGCAGGCTGTGGAAGGTCGGTCGTTCAGCAGTTCGAGACCCGAGTGTGCCGCGTGACGGAGTGAGCTCCCGTCTTCAGTTCCAGCTCCTGCCAACCTAGCAGTTCGAAAGCAAGACATTGCAAGTAGATAAATAGGTACCACTTCGGTGGGAAGGTAACAGCGTTGCGTGCGCCTTGGTGTTTAGTCATGCCGGCCACATGACCACGGAAACGTCTTCGGACAGCGCTGGCTCTTCGGCTTGGAAACGGAGATGAGCACCGCAACCCTAGAGTCGGATTCGACTGGCTTTCAAGCAAGGAATCTTTACCTAAATGTATGTGTGAACCTGCCATAAGTTTCAGGAAGGTGACTGTGTTGGTCTGTAGAAGGGCAAGAATGAAGTCCAGTTTGGTGTAGAAGAGCCCGTTGGTCCAGAAGAGCCAGTTTGGTGTCGTGGTTAAGTGCGCGGACTCTAATCCAGGAGAGCCGGGTTTGATTCCCCACTCCTCCACTCGTACCTGGCTGGATGACCTTGGGCAAGCCGTAGTTCTGGCACAGCTGTTCTT